TGCTTTGCTGGAAAAGGAGGGACAATCTCCTACTGTACCAGTCAAACATAAAATTTTTTTTAAAAATTAAAAAAAAAAATCCATGTACAATTTCCCAGGTTATAATCTTTGTAGGATCATCAAGTCTCTTCTTCTATACAGCAGCTGGTGGGTTCAAGGTGCTGTCCTCTCACTGAGCAACTGAAAGCTCTTACTTTTGATTCTTCGCATGTCTCACAAATTATACCTACCTATACGATGACAGAGAGAGAGCTACGTTGGCCTAGTGGATAGAAAGTTATACTACCAAGCCGAAGGTGGGTGATTTTAATCTGCAGCCCTCCGGCTGGGTTCAAATTTTTTTCCTGTCCAACATTCTTCTAGGTGGTATAGCACTGGTCTTTGCATTGTTGTACAGAGGTAACTCGTGGTTGCTGTGACACTGATGTGCCAAATGTGGTAATGGTTACCCATGGAGGACAGTGTTTGGTGGAGCTTCTCAATTAAAACAAGCCTGGAAGCAGGAGAGGCATCCACTTCCGAAACGGCTTGCCTCCGGAAACTCTATGTATGAACAGTGCTCAGGCCTTTTGTTCACAGGGTCACTATGAGTCGTCTATGACTCAACGGCACCTAAAAACAACAACGTATTTACACATGTGGTTTTCCTTTCACTTTTTTTGTCCCTCTCATTAAAAAGAAACAAACAAAATTTCTTAAGGAGAGGCTTTCGTGTTTCTTTCCTCTTCTCTATTTTCTAGCACCTAGGACAATAAATGGCATATATATATGTGCTAATAAACAAAGAATGATTATATGAATCCAGCCCCTAGCTTCAAGGAGCTCAGTTAAGTGGAAAAGGTATAGTTAAACAGATAATTTGAGTATAAAGTTATGGGGGCTGAGCTAGAAATACTCTACTATATTAACCAAGGAAAAGAGATGGGTTAAGAAGCTTTCTTGAAATACCATGAAAAGATATACTCTGATCAATTTGAAAGCCTAGGGAAAATGGACAAATTCCTTGAAACTCATGCCCTACCTGGATTGACAAGGACAGATATAAAACACTGGAACACACTGATCACAAAAGAAGAAATTTAAAAGGTCATAAAAAGACTTTCCCATAAGAAAGGTTCTGGACCAGATGGCTTCACAGCTGAATTCTACCAAACATTCAGAGAGGATCTATCACGAATTCTACTTAAACTATATAAAAAAATTGCAAAAGAAAGAACACACCCAAAGTCATTCTATGAAGCAAGCACAACACTAATACCAAAACCAGGCAAAGTTGTTAAAGAAAACTACAGACCAATATCTCTCAT